TTAACCATTTGTATATACATATAGTTGGGGTTGTTGATTGGGATATTGAAGTCCCCAAGTATACTAGAGGAGAGGAAGGGGGGTTAGCCAGGAAGAAAAGTGTTTAATGAATAGCCTAGGATGACCGGCAGGGCAATAAATGATGGCAATTCTTAAAGGAGTGGGTTTAACTCCTTCCCGACCTCGGATGTATCATGTATGTCCGCCAAAAATGGTCCTTATGGACCACGGACGTACCTGATACGTCCACGGCTAATTAGAGTGCTGATCGCTTCCAACCGCTCTAACGGTATTTCAGCGATGCCTCACTGCCGGGCCACTTTAAATATATAAATATGTGTGTATATATATATATATATATATATATATATATATTTAAATTCTACGTGCATATTTATGCAATATTTTTACATAATTAAGTAATTTTATTGATTGCAATTTGAGGGACCTGCCTGATAACCCAGGCCGAAAGTCCACAGAATTTCATTTGCTAGCACTATATTTAACCCTGTAACTTTCCAAAACACCCTAAAACAGGTACATGGGGGGTACTGTTTTACTCAGTAGACTTCGCTGAGTACAAATATTAGTGTTTCAAAATATATCACAGCTATGATATTGTCAGTGAAAGTGATGTTTTTTGCATTTTTCACACACAAACGGCCATTTCACTCATGATATTGTTGTGATACATTTTACTGTTTTGAAACACTAATATTTGTGTTCAGCGAAGTCTCCCGAGTATAACAGTACCCCCCATGTACAGGTTTTATAGTGTTTTTGAAAGTTACAGGGTCAAATATAAGGCAGTTTTTTCACATTGAAATTTGCCAGATTGGTTATGTTGCCTTTGAGAGCGTATGGTAGCCCAGGAATGAGAATTACCCCCATGATGCAAAAGAAGACAACCCAAGGTATTGCAAATGGGGAATGTTCAGTCTTTTTTAGTAGCCACTAAAAAAGACTGGACATACCCCATATTGAATACCCTGAGTTGTCTACATTTCAAAAATATATGGTTTGATGGGGGTAAATTACATTGGCTGGCTTCAAAAATGTCCCAAATGGGACATGGGTGCATGATGACCAGCTGTGAAAATTCAAATTTGTAAATCTGGAATGCGCACCCTCCAAATAAGGTCTTTTAGCTCCCAGAGAACACGACACAACTATACATGGGTGGTATCACTGTACTCAGGAGATGTTGCTGAACACATATTGGTATGTTCTTTGGCAGTAACCCTTAAAGTTCTCAGTACATGTTTAATTTGACATAATTTGGTGGGAAAATGGTTGCATGAAAATAGTCAAAATGCCCCAAGTTTAATACCTTAGGTTGTCTTCTTTTAGAAAAAAAATATACTTGTGAAGGGTTATTCAGGGATTCCTGACAGATATCAGTGTTACAATGTAACTCTACAATGTAGCGTTCATATTGAAAAAGAAATGGTTTGGAAATAGCAAAGTGTTACTTGTACTTATAGCCCTATAACTTTCCAAAAAAAAGCTAAGACCGTGTTAAGATTGGGTATTTCTAAACTCAGGACAAAATTTAGAAACTATTTAGAATGGGTGTTTTTTGGCGGTTGTAGATGCGCAACAGATTTTGGGGGTCAAATTTTGAAAAAGTTTTTTTTTTTTTTTTAAATAAAATTTTTTCATCATATTTGATCATTTCTTTTATAGTAAATGATATGAAATGATGAACATAATAGTATCTTTAGAAAGACCATTTAAAAATGGTATATAATATGTGTGGGTACAGTAAATGAGTAAGAGGAAAGTTACAGCTAAACACAAACACCAGAGAAATGTAAAAACAGTCCTAGTCCCAAATGGTAAGAAAACTGAAACGCGGTCTGGTCACTAAGGGGTTAAATAGGCGGATAGAAAAAGATAGTGCATATAGGGTATTGCTTGGTAAAAAGAAAATAGATTGCTTGATATCTAAATATATAGACTTAAATAGTGGTTAGTAACCTACCGGTAAATGGAAATTAAAAAAACCCAGAATATTGAAAATGAATGTTTAGGCAGCTTGCCCATACAGCAGCAAATTGATACACTAAGGCAACTAAAAAAACTAGAAAGCCTGCAATGGCTGATGAAGCAGCCCACATAATTTGAATATCAGTGGGATATAAAGTCCTCAAATACTGTATAAATAACAATAGCTGCAACTAGAAGAAAGGAGGAGCAATTGCAGAAAGCGGCATATCAAAGGCTCCTGATTGACCGGCGTGTCATGAATCGTACTATGCGTCGTCGAAATCGCGGAACGTATCCCGTTAATGGAACAGTCCGATCGTTCCAAACGGCCCATAGCGAAAAGGTATGATAAAGATTCAGCATCGAAGAGATAGGGGTAATAAAGGGATCGCAGTCCCTTCCCATACACCATCGACTCCAGGTGTTCCATGTGGATAAGTTATTTTGGGAAATACCTGGTGTCCATGAGTCCCATAATAGGTCTCTAGTTGGTTTCGATAGTCCCTTGACATACCAGTCTCCCCTGAAAGACACCAATCCACCAACTCCAGACGCTCCTGCATTATCAATGGATGATGTTCTCCTTTTGGATCTGTCCGAAGGCAAGTTAAAACTGAAGGAGCACAGGATGATCCCGATTAAGGACAACCATTCTGGGTGCCACGCTTGACTCCTTTACCACGGTAATGAGTACTATCGAAGTCTTCGCTATTCTGATCCCAATTTCATAGGTGTGTCCGGATCTCGGGTAGTGAGCTTTCAGCTGCTCTCTGGCCCGGTAGTGAAGCGGCCTTGGGAAATAGTCAAATGGTTATGGTGCCTTTCCGCCGTACCCGTCGAATTTCCTTACGAATCGTCGCTATCAATGATGGGGGAAGGTGTAATCTGCCCAAGGTGGAATCTATTCCGAAGTAGAGGAACTGAATTACTCGGGACAGGGATCAAACCAACTCCTCTCTGTTCACTATGAATCCCAACAATTCCCGAAACTGTAAACATAAATCTCGTCTGTAAACGTAGTCAGGAATTGGATTTGCAAAAGGTCAGTAAGTCGTCTAATTATGCGACAGCGGATACCCTTTGCTCTTCAGTGCGCCGTGACCGGCTTCAGAAACTTCATGAGGCACCATGTGAACCAGTAGGTAAGTGCCCTTCAAATCCAACCTTGCAAACCCCTTTCGAGGAGTAGATCCCCTAAGAGATGGATACCTTCCTTCTTGAGGTGTCGGTACGCCCCAAAACCATTGGGTTGGCGTAGGTTGATGACTGGGCGATAGTCTCCTGTCTTTTTCCTTACTACCAAACCGTTGCTGAGATAAATGGCTCTCCAAAAAATAGTCTGTCCGCCTGAGGTCCTCGCTCTTTCGTCCCTAACTTCAATAGTTTGAAATACATCTTTAATCGGCCTGCTTTTCACCGTTCTGTGCACCTGTCTGCCTTGCGTTCCTCAACCTACATATTGCCCTTTGCACCCATTCCATCACATCGTGAGCTTCTAGAGGTGAGTCTTGGGTGGGGGTCAGGTCCACAAAGTATAGAATTTTTTCCCGGGGTTGATCATGTCCAGTATTTCATCCTAACTCGTTTTGAGTCCTTCTCCTACACCTTTACATGGACCCCGGTCTGATCGGATATAAATATCACCACAGTGATACCGAACTCCATATCTTGTTCTGTAATAGAGGGCGTAGGCGTTCCACCCTGAGCTTGTCTCTGACTTCTTTTCCCATTGGCCTTCTGAGCCAGAAGTGGGCAAAGTGTGCCCGGTGCTCCGGTAAACCCTATTCGGATGACCCTGGGTGTCGGATGGTGCGTGAGTCAAAACAAGAGTGTCCAGTGTGCCAAAGAAAAGCCTTTCTTGCTAGATGGGTCTTGTCACTTTACCTCTGGGAGACGTGAAAGCCTCAATATGTATAATCCAAGGGGGTCATCCTTATATGGCCTAGAATTGTGGAGTTTTGGCAGCACTGTGAGTTCTCCTTCTCGGTTAAGGAAAGGGCGTACAGGTCCCCCAGTTGAAGCATAGAGATGCCGGAATACATGCATCTAGTGCGCCCTGGTCTGTGCATACCATGACAGAGCGTACTCTGAAGGTAGAAGCCCTAGAAAGGGCGCAGGGGGTCACCCCGTCCGGCAGGGGGTCACCCCTTTGTACGTATGCCACTAGCACCGGAGTAAGACTCGCTTGTGGTTCACCCAGCGTAGGGGGGTCACCCCTGTATGTACGTCTATTATGGCATGTTGGGACACTCTTTCGGTCTGTGGGGTACCGAACAGGTGTCAGGTACGGAAGTACACTTATTGCCACTTAGTGGGCCTCCACGTACGACTCGGGGTCACCCAGAATTGCTTCAATCAGTACCACTTAGAGATTTCCTGGGAGTGGTCTGAGGAGGGGGTCACCCTCAATAAGACCGGGATGAGCGGTCAGTAATGTCGGGACGTAGCCCGTGTATGGGGAGGTATGGTAGCCTCCAAATTATCCAAGGGGTCACCCTTATGTGATATAGTACTGTGGAGAATTGGCAGCACCGTGAGCTCGCCTTCCTGGCTCTGTCGATATACATGTATCCAGTGTTCCGGTCTGTGCATACAGTAACAGATCGTACTCCGTGGGGCGTGGGGGTACCCCCCAGTATATGTATGTCACTAGTACCGGAATAAGATTCTCTTGGGGTTCACCCAGCGTAGAGAGGGGGTCACCCCTGTACCACAATGTCACTTTGGAGAGGTGTCTGCCACGCTTGGGGGTCACCCAGCGTAAGGGGGTTCACCCCTGTTAATCACTCCGCTATGTGCCTCCACTACTGTGTCCTGGAAGGTGTATCCCTGTGGGGAAGGAGTGTATCCAGTGGTTGTGAGGTCCAGTGGGAGTAGGGAGCTGAGTAAGGTATCAGCTCTATTTAATTTCTCTGCCAGCAGATAGAGTAATGCATCCACTATATGCCCACAGCAGGGAACATTCTATTCATAATCCTCTAGACGTACAATAAAACTGTTATTCAACATGACAATTGTATAGAACAGAATAGAGCAAACTGCCAGCAGACATGAGTACTGCATCCACTATATGCACACAGCAGGGATCAGTCCTACATATTCATGCAGAGTTACATATAAAACTTTTATTTCACATGCCACTGAAATATGACAGTATAGAGCTCAGCAGTGAACAGTCCATTCATAATCTTCCAGAAAAGGTACATATAAAACCTTTATTCCACATGCCCATGATATGTATTAGTATTGAGCTCAAAAGTACTTGTAAAACTTTTATTTCGCAGGAAAAATATTTTAAACAGTGGGAATCACAAACTGGCTAAACGACATGGCCGGCGTGAATCTCGCAAGTGCTGCAAGATTCAAGATGGCCGCTGTTTGCGCGCAAAAGCGCCGGCGGTATGGAACAGAGTCCTCCCCGACACCCCTAACCCCCAGAGACCTGCCCTGAAGTCCCAGCACCAGTGAATAAAAAAGCGTGCTCGCGGTAAAACGCTGCGATCCATGCAAGACCAGAGTAAAGCATAGGAAAGAAAAGGTGCCAGCAACAGAAAACCAAACAGGCTAATAAAGCAGAAAACACAGGGTTTATTCGGGGGAAGGGTAACAGGGGGAGAATATCACACTATGCAAGTCCAAGTGGAAGGCAAGTGCAAAATAATGAAAAACATTTAGGCCAAAAATTCAGGACAAGCTAATAAAGTTTAACTTAAGTGGCCATGCATATCCAGAAACAGTTTGGAGCAAAACTGAATGTCTAGCATTACAAATCTAACTAAAGTGACCATAGCAATATTAATAAAAACAGTTGGAGCAAACTGTAAGTCAAGTAATAAAGTTTAATTAAAGTGACCATTGCAATATCCAGAAAACCAGTTTGGATTAAAACTGAATGTCTAGCATAAGGTGTCTAACTAAAGTGACCATAGCAATATTAATAAAATAACAGTTTGGAGCAAACTGAATGTTAAGCACATGTTTAACTAATGACAATTTGCAATATCAGTAAAACAGTTTGGAGCAAAATACTCTGACCTGTGCCTTGGCTGGTAAGCAGCAAAGAAAGAGGAAGTCATGTGTCTGTCAGGGCTTTATATATGGATGTGATACCTGTTACTGATTGGTTTAAAGTTTTTTCTGATTGACTTGTGCTGCTGGAGGCATAAAGTAAAGAAAGTTATGCAAAATATTCGCCTCCTGTCATGTAATAAAATTAAGATTATAGGTACACTACGTTAGCATAATCTACAATTGCTGCTAAAAGACAGAGCTGAGAAATCCAAAACCCTTGTTACCTCGGCACCACAGATAATTTCACTAGTGCCTACCAAAACCATGACAATCAAACGGTGCAACAATTAAAGAAAGACAAGAGACATAAAGGTTTTAGATTGGCTGGCGATGAACAGGCATGCACTGCAGTGGCCACATTGGAAAGTGCTGAATGGTTGATATTAGAGGGAGATTAGGGTGGATTGGGGAAGTACCCAGGTGATTATGCACTACCAGAGCTTTAAGATTTCTTCCACATCTGGCTGTAACTAATGGAAACAGAGTAATGCTGATCTGAAGTTAATAGAGGCCAAAACTTCCCTAGAATATCGATCATCTCATGCCGAACGGTATTTTGTGGCAATGCGTATCAGGCAGGTCTGGGCTCTTGGTATTTTCACTCATGAGTGTACTAAGGTCGGTGTGCCTCAGGCATAGGACCTTTAAAGGACCCAGTTGGTACACCTTTTTTCTCTGAATGCTTTGCGTGTATCCCTAACTTTAACTTTTAAACATCTCAACAGAGGAGTAGTTCCGGCATACTCTAAAATATTAACCCCTTGGTTTCTTCCCGCTTCCCCCCCCCGCCTGTAATGGCACTAGATGAATAGTCCAATTTAAAAGATTATTGGACACTGTATGTTTATTATACAGAGTTGCAATTGAGCTGGATAGGCAAGGTTAAATCCCCCCCAAATTAAGATTCAGGCTGCCTTTCTCAAAGGTTAAGTGTAAGTTCAAATAATTCTTTTTGAGACACCCCACAAATTCTGAGAATAGTGAAGCCAAATCTAAACAAATCACCAGAATGTCATCAATGTATCTTCGCCAGCATAAAATCATGTCAGTATATTGTTTCAGATCAGGGTTCGCAATGGTGTACTTCTTCCATAAACCCAGTAATAGGTTTGTGTTGGATGACCCACAGGAAGTACTCATGGCAGTACCCCTGATCTGATGATACAGTTTACTGTTAAACAAATACATATTTTGTAAGGATAAACTTGAGGAGTTAAGCTATAAAATGCACATATGTGGATGGAGCAGCTTCTGTAGAACTAGATGCTCCTGTTTAGTCAAATTGGTCTTGGGTCTCAAACAAAGTGTGTCCGTGTTCAGAAGTATAATCTTTCTACATACCATCTCAAGAAAAAAAATCTGTATTTATTGTCTTTAAATTGAGGGATAAATTTGCTCTTCAATTTTAAATTGTTTAAGGGACATCCTCACGTGTCGTACCATCACTGATGTCTAAAAAAACTCAAGAGTGTTTGCAGACATAATATTTTAAGGACATTCTAATGTTCCGTGCTTTTTGCTCTTTAAGTGTGATATTTGTGAATAGCTAATTTGCGGGCAAAGAGATGGATGTCCTTTTGTCCAGTAACATTCAGCTTGTTATTTAAGTATATTTTGTGGAGGTTGTTTGGAGGGAAAAAAATTCTAAGCATATGAAAGTTATGCTTTGAAGAAGTTTCCTGGTTAATGTAAAAAGCAGATAAATCCTTCATATCCAGGACTTGTTTATCCTTTTATATTAGTTCTGCCTTTCAGATACTGACCTGCTTCCATATTCTGAAAAGACACAGAAACAAACACTTCCAAATGTAAGAAACTAGCACTTTCAAGAGAAGCTTAAAGAAAACACACACAGGAAACAAAAGCTATTTTTAGAACCCAGAGCAGCAATTAGTAGACTGTAAGCTCCCAAGAGCAGAGTCCTCTATCTTTTTTAGAATAAAAAACATGTATCAATGCGTGCTACTTTTATGTAATTTCCCATATGTCAAGTTTTTTTATCCATGGTAAACTGGACATTGCTGAATACCTTGCTGGATATAGATATATAAATAAATGTAGATGTATTGTCTTTTGCTGCATAACTATATGTTGTCTTAAATGCTTTCATTTAACTCTGTGTGTGTTATATATACACGACAGGTGCATAGTCGCCATATGGGCAGGGGGAGGGATATATGACTTGAACCCAACCCACCCAATAAGACACTGACACTTAGGGTTATGGGTCAAATTGTCCACAGCTTTAATGATAATAAAGATAACAATAAATATATATATATATATATATATATATATATATTTAGTCATTACCTGCCACACCCCAATCTCGTATCATCTTTCTTATATTTACATCAAGGTAATGACCCACCACATAATACATTTCCAATGTACAACCATCATATAATATAACATGTAACATAACATTGATCCATTTCACCTGGTAGGGGTATACCCAGATACCTCTACACCACTAAGGTTCTGAGCCACCAATGGACTCGGAACACCACGAGGTTCTGAGCCACCAACGGACTCGAAACCTACCAAAACATATACAAACAGTGTACCCTTTTAAGCAATCAACTAGCCAATTAACTAACTCCCCTTACTCCTCTCTTAAATAAGGCCAATTATCCTTAATGTTCCTTACCCCACCCTGCCGCTGTGACCAAGCGTGGGAAAAAAAAAGGCTACAAAGGGAGGGAGGGACCTACCCTGCTAGGTAAGAAAATTAGAGTGAGGGATCATAAAATGGCTGACCATTTATATCAGCCAACCCCCAAGCACTGCTCTACCAATACCCTATTGCTCCCACCCCCTAGCCCGCCTCCTAGCCCTGTCAGAGCCTTATTCCCTAAGCTGTGCTTTCTCCATGGGCTTCATGTTATGAGTATTGCGTTCAGTAATCAATAGGTCATTCATAGCTCTTTAACGGCATGCTACACATACTTACAATTGTTCTGGACAAGGTGCTGTTAGAAAGTTTAATGTACAGTAGTAAAGTAGCATTCAAAAAGAATGGATGATTCCAAGATATAGGAAAGATAATAAAAGGGAAAGGGGTGGAGGAGGCAAGATGAGGCTTTATAAATAGATTTATCCACAGTATTTACATTGAACCAATCCATTTTACAAATTTAAATATATCTAGCAACATTTTTTTATTTCTTTTAATTCTTTTTATTTTTTTTAAATAAATAGCTCTGCCATGTTTTCTGTTACGTGACATATGAACATTTACAACACCTGCAGCCTAAATGTAAATGGATTGCTATATCACAATATAAATTTTTTTTTGATGAAGTGATTTTTCTAGGTCTATGTCTCCCTTGAGACAGTATGACAGCTTGGGTAATTACATTGTTCGCAAAGCAACCTTAAAACGATATTTTAATGAAAAAACGGATGAAAATTTTACCCAAAACGACTCAACCGCTAATAGTACAATCTCACCCTCTTCTCTCCCTCCCAAAAAATCATATTATTAACATACATTTTAAAGAAAAATCCAAATTTTATCCAGCTTTTATGAAAACTGCTCCTTTAACAGTATTTGAGAAACTAGTCACAAATGATTTAAATAAATACGATACACAAAATTTAACAAACAATGAAAGGAAAGCACTCAAAGAGCTACAAGATGACAAAGACATTGTTATAAAACCTGCGGACAAAGGAGGAGGTCTAGTCATTTTGTCTAGTGCCATGTATATAGGAGAAGCACACAGACAGTTAAATTATACTGATGTCTATGAAAAACTTTCATCAGATCCAACAAAGACCATTCAGAACCTCTTTTTAAACAAAGGTGTATCTCAAGCCATTTTAACAAAACATGAGTTTAACTTTTTAAACAAAAAATTTCCAAAAATGTCCTACCTAAAATACACAAGAATGCCACAAACCCCCCTGGCAGACCAATAGTGTCAGGTATAGGTTTGCTTCTTTGCAATCTATCTCAATACATAGACACTCTCTTACAACCTGCCGTTAAAAAAATGAAGTCATACCTCCAGGACTCCATGTTTCTTTTAAATTTTTTAAAAGATTTTAAATTGGACCCCAGTTTTATTTTAGTTACTTGTGACGTCCAATCACTCTATACAATTATACCTCACAAAATTGGATGTGAAGCCATTAAAAATATTTTAACTAAAGAAGATAGAATTATCGAAACACAGATTGATTTTATTTTAGAGGGTATTAATATTATTTTAAAAAACAATTATTTTTGGTTTTTAGACTCCTTTTATCTCCAAAAAAGAGGAATTGCTATGGGTACCAGGTTTGCCCCTAGCTATGCCAATCTGTTCATGGCAG